AACAGTAAAGATTGTCCATATTAAAACTGAAAACAGCCATGAGATGTCAGGTGAGCCAAGTTTGCCTCATGGATGTTTTTTGGAGGTATCTTAATTACTGCCAGCAGCCTCTCTCCTAATGATGAAAGGGAAAATGGCACCCATGAAATAAAAAATGACATTTCTGCTATGGCAGGGTGAGTGACTCATCCTCTGCATTGAGCAATGGTCCTTACAAATCTGACTACTGCAGCAGATGCAATTAATCTCTTAGCCTGCTGTTACAGGGTACCATGTACACTCTGACCTCGGTGTACACTCACACGCAGACCAATACACACTTTCATCCAAATCACTGCAAATGAGTTTCAGAGCTGGCAAGCCATAGCGCACGTGTTTTGAATACTGTATCAGTGGGGCTTATTATCAGGAAATTGTCTTGATGATAAGTGTGTTACTGTGATCTCCCCACCTCCTTCCCTCCTTCAAAAAATACACAGAACAGTCTGACAGCTATGTTGGCTCAGCATTCCTATTGCAGAAACTCTCTTGTCCGTACAAATTTATTTTCCCGCTGTTTGTGGAGACAATAATGAATAAATAAATAAATAAGGGGAAAATCAGTCTGCTGCAAGTGAGGGCAGGCTGTTATCTTTAGGCTTTTATCAAGAGCTTCAGATAATCTTAACAGCCAACTGGCTCTTCAGTTAGGCAGCCTGCTCCATTCACCAAGGCATTTCTCTAGGAAAACAAGCACTTGATTGGTCCAGCAGAACTTGAACAACATCCAAGAATTTTACAGCAGTAAAAGAAAGCCTAACCAATCATTCAGTGAAGTGTAAATACTTAAAAAGATGGACTTTTGTTTTGTCTAATATATAATGGCTCCTAAATCGCATCATATTGCTTTTGTGCTTGAGAATATGCTACACACAAAAATTCTGAAATCAAAGTTTAATCACTGACGTTTACTTAATGATAATGTGTATTCAGGGCCTCTGAGTAAGCTACCTGAGCACTGAGATGATTTTATTCTTCTTTTCCTAAGAGCTATTTTGCTGTCAGAAGCCTTGGGATGCCTCTGTGCAGGGTTGGCCTCCAAGCTGCTCTAAAGGCTGGAAAACCAGCACATATGAAATTTATTTGTGTCCGTATCTGAAAGCTAAAGAAGCATAAATCTGGCTCATGATGTTTTTAAGAATGGTGGCTCATTGTTGTGAGGAAAATCAGGGAATGGGATCAATACTCTTTCAACAGTGAGGAATTTGGAGCTGTGTGTGTTTTGTGGGTTTTTTGTTTGTTTTGTTTCAGTACAGAACTGTTCTTTTAGTACCTTCATTTGACTAAATGTCTCAGAGAGTGATAATGATTTTAAAAGATTTTATCTACAAAAAATAGAATTTTGTGTACCAGCAAGGCAAATCTGGACATGGTTACATCATGGCACACCATCAGGCAAATGCTCAATCCCACCTGAGACAGTTTGAGTCACACTAAGTTTGATTTCTTTATATTTAGTAAAATCATTTGAAACAGATGTTTGAGGGAAGCAAATAAATCTGACTGGTGATTATCCAGGTTAATGGGTGAAAAATCAGGCTGAGAATGCAACCCAAAACATTTCTGTTTCAGGAACAGCAGTAAGAAAAAGACGACAGCTGCACCCTGGATACAGAGATGTATTCTTCTGTTTCCAGGGTAGAGAAAGAGGAGAGAAGAAGTTGGAGCTGGAGGTATTACATGATCCTGGAAGAAAAGTGTAGGCTAATCATTTTTCTGAAAACAAAATCCTGAGTATCAAGAAAGCAGTGGCATCTTTGTACTACACAGTCTAGCCAGTCCTGTCTGCTGTGTCCAGCATGAGTTCTTATCTCCCTTCTCCGGAGAACTGCATTACCTTTGAGTAGGGCGAATAAGAACTAACCGTATAGATTATTATCACTGCTACCACACCAGCTGATACTGAGTTTGTGACCTAACACAATGTTTCCACTTTTTTTGTTCAATAGCAGAGTGGGCGTATGGAAATGTCATTGTTTTGGCAATCAATCAATCTATTAAAGTCTCCACTGAAAGGCCAAAGGGACTCTAACGCTGAATGAATAGGTGCTCCATCCGAGCCTGGAAATGACATGGAAGACTATTCCTGATGAATGCATAAAAAAAAAACTTTTTTTCTTTCTCAAAGCAATGAGGGTGTGGTTTCCTTACTTCCTAACTGAGAAGTAGGTTTATGAAGAAAGATGAGACTTGAAGATCTGTTTTCCTGGGGGAGGTAGGAAACAGAGATTTTGGCCAGGGAGGGATTTCCTGTCAAGGAAGCCTTTGTTCCTTGATGGCTGTGCATGGGATGCTGTGTCTCAGGGGCAATTTTGTGACCAGTGATCACTAGTAAGGGTCCGGTGTGGGTGCCAAGAGAGAGTACACAGCAGAGTGATAATTTATACTGTGTGATCATTCCTAATGCTATTAAAAATTCAAATATGCAAAGAATAGTATCTAGTTCATTGTAACCTTTTGATGGTAATTGGGAAGCCTCATGAGGCTCGTGAGGCTGCCATGTACATGGCAGTTGATAGTGCAGATGGGATATAGACACCTGAGAACAATGCAGAAATGAAATCACTAATTTCCATAAAGGGTTCTTGATCTCTTCTGAACTAAGGAGAGTTCGAACTGGCAGGCAAGTGTGAAAGACTTTCTCTCTCCTCTCTCAGCCTCTAGCCAAGGAGATGCCATTCACATTTCCTCACAAATGGGAAAGTCAATTCATAGAAGCAGGCAGAACTTGAGAAATGTGTTTGTTGATTCTGCTGAAAGAGTCTCCAGTAGCCTCTAAAGCATTGTATTAGGATGGACAGAAAGGGTAATTTTCCAGTGCAGAAAAAAATTAACTAAAATTGTGCACCCAAAATCTCATGTTAAAACGGACACTGATCTTTCTAAACTTTCTCACTAGGGAAAATGGAGACTGGAATTGAGCTGTAAGTTTTATGAGGATTCTTTTTCTTAGTGATTACCAACAGTTTGGACTTTGTTGAGGTGGAGGGAAACATCATGGACTCTAATTCATAAATATTTCTAAGCTAAGGCCTTTTAGCAAAAGGCATAAACCAGAATCCTTGCCCCAAGTAGTAGTGGTCACTGTGGAGGTGAGAGCAAAAATTACATTTCCTATCCTTTCCAAATGTTTTCTACAGGCACTAAATAGGGTTGCTGTGAAAATTCCTAGATTATTCATTTGCACATGCATAGCTCAGAGCCAAAATCAGCAGGCATGGATTTACTACAGGAAGGAGAAGAGGTCTGGAAAAGTCCAGAAGCATCTCATTCCTGATGCAGATGCACTATAGTCAAGGCAACTGTGCATCTATACCATATTTTAACAGCAATGTAGTGCTGTGGTTGAAATCACCAAAGTGCATTGCAAGATATGTTTTTTTTTTTTTTTCTGGCTACTTTTCTCTTCTAGAAAACCTCCATGAAGTATAGTCTACTGTGCACTCTTGTGCTGCCCCATATTTAGATGTTTACTGAGTAGAACTACGTAGAACAGCTAGTGAAAAGCTAGACTTATGCCTGGCATCTTCCTAGTAGTGCACAATGGAGTTGAAGAGGCCTTCAGCATCTTTTCTGTCAGTCTCGTGTGCACCAGGCCATAGTCTAAGCTTCTAAGCACAGCTTCTGAAGTGAATTTTTTTCTGCTGAACAAGCATCCTACAGTGTTCCTTGCCAATTAAGTGACCTGGAAACACCTTTGTAACCCATGTTGTAGACCTGATGTCTCTAAACCATGAAGCTCCAGCTGCAATAATGAAAACTGCATGCAAATGTCTTGATTTTGTCACAAATTCTGCAGATAATGTGTTTTGGCTGTGCAGAAATCAGAGGAAAGCCAGGATCAATGAGGCAAATGGCTAGGCTGGTTATCATTGATATATGAAAATGATGGTGGTCTTCTGTTAAGCAGCCAAGTCTCTTGTTGTGTTTGGCTCCCATCTGGCCAGCTCAGTGGTTTCTGATTTGTTAAAATACAATTGCCTGCAAGGTTGTTGTCACATTTAAGGCTGGTCCTATACTCGTGCTGCTCAGGTCTGAGAAGGCTCTTCAGCTTTGGCAGCTTGCCTGCGAGACACATTGAAGCAGCATCTCAGTTCTGGGCTCATTACTTCTATTCTCTCCCCGAGAGACCCTGCCCGTGGTTGAGGCTGGGATATACTCCAAGAACAACCTGAGGCTATTTTTTTGCCTTATCAGGGAATTGCTTTCCTAACTGCATGGGTGTGCTCTGTGTGGTGACCCGTATTCTCTGCTGCCTCCTGCTGGAA